TCTAGTATATCAAAAAAGAGATTTCTTCGCGTTTCATTTCTTTACTTCTTGTCTTTGGTTTTACTTTTTCTTGACATACCAAAGTTCATTCCGACGGTTTTCGAATTTCATTGGGGGGTCATACTGCAACCTGTCAGAAAGGAGGTCAAAGGTTAGTAGTTCTAGGTTAGAGAAGGCTAAAGTAATTTGTGTAAATTTTGAAACTTCTTGTGATTTTGTTAACTAGTCCGCTCCTTTATTTAAAATGCATATTTTTCCAAAAATAGGATGCGTCGTATGAATAATAATAATCACTAAAGGCTATTTCAAAATATATCTAATCGATTAACACATGCATTGATCACTAATCAGCAGCAAAAATATATTTTCCATGTACACCTAATACAAAAATCTTACTAACCTGTAATGAAGGGAGAAATCTATGTCTTTCTCCCCAGCATCTTGAAGGATCTGTCTCAGACTTGCTGCTTCCTCCTCCCACACGTTCTCCCTCATGGCGAACCCACCGAACACCCTAAAGAAAATACTCTTATTCTCGACGTCTTTTGAGATTCTAACACTATAGGCTGCACAGTCATACTCATTCTTATACGGTCTTAGAGATCAGTATTCTTGGCAGCTTGCGAGTTTCTAAGAAAAACAAACTTAAATTCACCACATATATCACGCGCATTACAGTATATATTTTTTTCCGTAGACACTTCTGACGCAAAATGGAATCCAATATACCGAATATAATAGAAGTGCTGCTTCTGAAACCGCTGACAAAATATCACGTTTAATAAAAGGGCCTCATCTAACCAGTATTTTCTTTTCCTCTAAACATTTTCACACTCATTACTTGCATAACTTTCCTGAATATTTTTGTTGCTCACATCCAACTAAAACATCAATATTTGTGTAATATGATTAGTGCTTTTCATAAAATGGACAGAGAATTAATAAAAAAATGAATAAGCAGATCTTCAAATACTTCCATTAACACTAAACGAATTCCCATCAACATCAACCTTACCAAACAAAGACGCAAAACAATTTCCAAAGACAAGAACACTCGAAATTCAGCACAAAGCACAAACAATGAACTATAATTACACCGGACCTTGTAAGAACCGTCATAGGAGGTCGGTCCTCAATGTAAACATCGGGGTTGGTGGGTGCAGGGGGCGCTGCCTGGTACGCGGCCGGCATGTAGAAGCACATTTGGTAGCGCTTTCCTGCTTCAGGTGACACGTCTTTCCTGATGGTCACGGAGGCTGTCATGTCGATCTCGGCTCCTTTAGAAGGAAGAAGGGGGGGGGGTTAGGTTGTCATGTCGATTTCGGCTCCTTGAAAAGGAAGAAGAGGAGGGGGGAGGGTTTCTCGGCTCCTTGAGAAGGGAGACAAGGGGAGAGGTGTTAATTTGTCAGGTCGAGTGAGATGAGGGAGGAGGGCGGGATTAGGTAGGTTTGGTATGGACTGAGAAAAAGAGAGGAGAGAGAGAGAGGGAAAGGGATACATATTTATAGATAGTTTGGCTGATGTTTATATAGAGGGCTTGACTGATAGATCAATAAACAGACCGGTTAACAGTGAGTTAGGGGTGGAGGGATACATATATATGTATGTATGTTTGTATAGATAGATAGATAAATAGATAAATAGATAGATAGATAAATAGATAGATAAATAGATAGACAGAAAGATAGATAGATAGGCAGATATATACAGATAGATATATATTCAGAGAGAGAGAGAAAGGCAGAGAGAAGATAAATCTCAAGAGAAAGACACACACACACACACACACACACACACACAAACACACACAAACACACACATACACAAACACACACATACACAAACACACACACACACACACAAACACACACACACACACACACACACACACACACACACACACACACACACACACACACACACACACACACACACACACACACACACACACACACCCCATCCCGGGCACCTACCTTCAGCATTATCGCCAGTGATGTATCGGAAAAGGGGTAGGAAGGACTCCCTCTGTGCCTTGAAGCCGTACGTATCCTTCAGGAGGTCGTGACAAGCCCACTTCGATGCCTCATATAAGCGCTCCTCATACCCCTGTAATGGAAACAGAATACTGGCGTTATTGATAATTATAATGATGATCGTGGTGATGGTAATGGTAATAGTAATATGAGTGATGATTGTAATAGTAATAAAAGTGCAACAACAACGATAATAAGGACCAACATTAATAAATACATCAATAAGAACAATCATAATAGAATTACGGGAACAAGCTTAATGAGATGGCAGAGTTACCATAGAAAATGGCATTACTTACATCAGCAAGTCTCGTGACCACATAAGAAACAGACTCAAGGTTCTCCGTGTCATACTGGAAATAAAATTAAATGTTACCTGTGACATTGCCGTATCAAAGTAAAAAGAAAGGTTGAAGTAAAGAAAAGAAAGAAAGAAAAAAAAGAAAAAAGAAAAGAAAATAATATAG